AGATTGACTGTGTAAATTGTGCAATGAACTTTCAATCCAACAATAATGAATTTCTTGTTTTCAACGAAATTTAACAAGATTTTTCGTGTTAATCGCAATGACTCATTACGTCTTAAATGCTTTATCCCTAGAAAAAAATGAACAGCACGCACTGTTCGTCTCATTGACCTTTTGTCGCAACTGAAAAAAGAAAAGAAATGAATGTTGCATCGAAAATATAGAGTCAAATTCGAGTACATAGTTGTCGGCCGGCAAATTTGACGGTGTAATTTGGTTTTTCGGGTGTTTTTCTTTCTGGTGAGAGAGAAGATGAGTGTGAAAAATTTACGATTTTTTTTTTGTCGTCAAAGGCCAATTTGGATGCGATTCTTAAGCACTTTCTTCAGAAAAAAAAATAAACGAACGAACAAAAAAGTGACAGACAAAAACAATGGTTATATGCATTTGATATTTCGGTTTAAAATAGAGTCGCACTTGAAAATATACGCACGTAGAAGACACGCTCAATGACTAATAAACCTATAAATTAAGATGCGTCCACTCCAATTTCCATGTATTCTTTCATAATATTTTTTTTCGTTTCTCTTCTTTTGTTTACAGTTATCTACATCTAGTTCAGTTCCAATCAAGAATAAGCAGGACGATGACCGAATTATATAACACCATCAATATATATTTTTTGTTTTTTTTGTTTTTTTTGTTTTTACCATAAAAAATAATCGATTCACACTTTTCTATCGAAAGTCTTTTGTTAGTTTTTTTTTCATCATCGTTCGTTTTGCTCCGATGCCCTTTCCTCTATCAAAATTAACAAAAAAATTTTTTTTTTTCATATTTTAATTGAAATTTATTGTGCCAATCAAATCGAAATCTATGAATTTGGAATTTTTCGCGTACAAATTGTTATTCTAAAAACGATTGATACGAATGGACAAGCTACGCTGCACTAATTTTAATATTCATTTCATTTATTTTGTTATTAGTTTTTGGGTTAGTTTGGTTTTTTGTTTCAATAAAAAAAAAAATAATACTGTGTCAACAGAAGACATTTGCTTACCATGAAAACACAATGGAAATTGGTGGCATTGGATTTGGATTCGATTTTTTTCTTCTCTTTTTTCAATGTGTCAATCGCGCGATATATCTTTTTCTTTCTATGGAGGGGAACGTAGAAAAAATCCAGTAAATTGTCTGATAAAAAAAATGATCAACTCAAAAGTGTTTCTTTTAATCATTCGTCGACGTTTTAAAATTTTGCATTAATTTTGAATCAATATATAGTCATATGAAGCTAGCCTAAAAAAAAAATTTGAATATCCGAAAAAAAGTCTTTCATCATTTGTTGTTGTCCGTTGATTGCAACCATTCAATAAAATATTCGTTAAGAGTTTCGATTCGTTTTCATGTTGTTCGCTAGTTGTGTTGGGTTCATTTTAAAAACATACCAGGAAGATGAATTTTGAAAATAGCCACTGAATAATATCATTTTTATTTCGTCATCGTCATCGAATTGTAGGAAAAACCTTCGAATATGATGCATCGAACACAGATCAGTACCTACATAGTAGGATTTTTTTTTCTCTCTTGAGCTTGTAAAATTCACCGAATGCACACATTACACAAGAAATTGTAATTGCACTCTAAAAAAAATGTTAAATCTTTGACTGCCTTTCATCGAATGCTCATGCGCGCATTGCACCGATTTCGCCGTTCGTCTCTTCTCTTCGAATTTCGATATTCTTTTCGGATATCCGTCCATCGGTTCCGTCTCTAATTCGTGTCATTGTCAATTCTAATGGTCGTCGTTGTCATCGTTGTTTTGTGTAAAATAAATAACAAAATCATAATCGAAACGTTTGTCTTTCTTATATGTGCAATTTTTATTTGACGAATCAATCAGATTTTTATTTTGCTAAAAAAAAATATATATATAAATTCAATAAGAAAAAACCAATTCTAAAAACACTTTTCAATATCGCAATAACGAAATTCCTCATTTGTTTGTTTGAAATCATTTTTGTATTCTCGATTTATTCATTTTTTTTCATTTTTTTTTCTCTCCGTCTCTCGTTTTATTTTGTTTGTTTGTTTGTTTTTTTTATTTAAAAAGAAGAAAAAGAAGAAGAGAAAAAAATTCAATGAAAAAGAAAAAAAAAGTATGTGTAGAGAAAGTTCTCTTTTCATCAAGACGGGGTGTGGGAAACTTGCATATTAATTTCTTTTATAACTATTTATTAAATATTAAAAATGTTTGTAAACGGCAGATCTCGCTTCTATCTTTTTAATCTCTCTCACTGTGTTAAATTTTTTGTTTCTATTTATTTGTTTCCTAATTACAATTTTTTTTTTTAAAGGCCAAATTTTGAATTTTTTCCGGAAATTCAAGAGACAGCGAATGCACATCAACACACAATGAAATTGTTGAGTTTGACCGCGTGCGGAGGCGAATTTGCTCCTCTTTTTATCAATTAAATGAAGAAAAAAAACGAACGCATGTGCAATGTCTTTTTTTTTTTTGAACATTTAAATTTTGATTTTTGTTTTGGAATCTTTTTTTCGATTATTTATTTCGGTTTTCGATTGTGCGAATTAGAAAATTTAAGAAAAAATTGTGAATGTAGAAAATTTCGAGAAAAAAGTGTTTCAAATCGAATTGAAACGTTCACGAAAGAGAAATTTACTTTATTCAATTTCCAATAGAAATTTTTTGCAGTGTCAATTACACTCGGTCTTGTCTGCGTGTGTTTCTTTCATTCAACAATTTTCCTTGTGTGCATCGTTGTACAGTCGCAAAAAAAATTTAGATTTTTTTTTTGTTTTATTTCAATATATATTTTTTTTGTTGTTTCTCTTTCTTACAATTTACCAAAAAAAGGAAAAAAAGTTACATAAAAAAATGTCAAATGATTTGAATCAATCGGAAAAAGGTATGAAATGAATCATCATCGGTATGACGACCGAACGAAAAAAGAGCATGTATATGAAGAGTGATGAAATGAATTCTTTTTCTTTATTCAACTGTTTAAATTTTTTTCATGTAGATGCATGCGCGTTGTGTTGGTGTGAATGTGCCTTGAAACGAGGAAAATCGTGAATAGTAATATTAGTGTTTATTATTTCTTCTTTCCTTTTTATTTCTCTCTCTTTCTCCATTCATCTTAACAAATTAAACCGAAAAGTAAGTGTGTTGTTCGTATTTGATTCTTTCATCATTAGAATTTTCCTCTCTGCATCAACATTTTTATTTTTTTTTTGTGTTTATTTTCTTTTAGAAATTTATTATAAATACTTGGGTTCATCTTTAATTTTTATGTTTAAATTTTTTTTTTTAATTTCATTCCATCGTGTAGTCATTTTAGTTTGTTGCATTTCGAAGTGCAGCTTCATACGTCAGCCTTTCGTCGTTCACTCTAATCGTTAATAATAATAATAGAAAAAAAAACAACATTCGTTTGCTCGGTGTGTGTGTGTGTGTATGTGTTTAAATTTAATTTTCTATGCCCATTAATGAAAATTTTCATTGTTTGTTTGTTTATTTTCCAGCTGCCCGGTGAACATTGAATGAAATCGTAAATATTTAATGCTTTCGCAAGTTCGATCATCGATTCAAGCGTCACTGAATATATGTGTGAGTGTGTTTGTGTGGTTGAATGCTGAATGAACGTGAACAGAATTATTTAGTGATTAGAATGAATTGATAAATTGGTTTTTTCAACGTTTGTTTTGGTACGCACATTTCAAATGAGTGTATTTTCTTCATTTATTTTCCGTAATCGGATTTGAAAAAAAAAAAAAAACAATTTTTTGTGTGTGTTTTGCCTGCATTTTCGTATCGCTAACTTCATTCATGTACATAATATATATATTTATTTGTATTGAATACAAACACTTTTTTTTCATTTTTAACTCTTCTTCGTATTTTTTCGCGCTGGATATTCTCTCTTAACCATTAAATCATACACATCATATAATTTGTTGTTGTTTTTTGTTGTTGTAATATTTATCAATATTAATTAGTAAATGTAAAAAATAAAAACAAAAAAGGAATCATCTTTTTAAAGTTGTATGCTTCTTCGTCTTCTTCTTTTAAACCATATTTGTTTTCCCTTCTTACTCTTTCTTTCTGTCTTCACTTTCTGAATCATTCCGCGTATTCTTCCTATTTTCTTTCTTGTTTCAAAACTAAGCCTAATATCCTTAAAAATATGTACATTTTACACAGAAAAAAAAAATGTTCTTCGATGAGAGCAAACATTCAATCTGACTAAATCTATTGCTACACTCCATCATTAAATGAAAAACGTCATTTACAGCCGATTTATTTTCTTGTTTTCATCATGTGTATGTGTGTGTGTGTGTGTGTGTTGTGTATGTTATTTTTTCTCTGCGAGTGTTTTTTCTATTAAATTTTATTTTAATTCTGTTCTTTTTTTCACTATATTTCTTCATCTATCTCTTGTTTGCTATTTTCTTTCATTTCGAAAATCACGCACTCACTCTTTCGCACTCGTTTTCTCCTAATATAAGAGGTAATTCATGTAGTTTAATTTGCTTTGTTTCTTATCTTGTCTAAGCGGTCGCGCGAACGCTCTCCATCTCACACATCTTGATTTTTTTGTTGCTATTGTTTCTGCTAGCTTCGGTTGCGCTTTTTTAGCACGTGTTTTGTATATTATTTTTATTTAATTTCGTTTCTTCTATTCTTTCGCTCAAGCTTTGTATAAAGTATTTTTGTTTGTTTCTTTCTCTCTCTCTCTGTGTGTGTGTGTTTTTTTTTCTTTCTAATCGCTATCTCTGCCTCAGTGAGTTAATGTGAGTTTAAATTAAATTTTCTGCTCGTGTATGTTCTTTTCTACATTCCATAAATATATACGCAACGAATCTTACGGATGTTAAATTAAATAAGTGTGTGTTGATGTGTAGTTGTTGCTGGAGCTGTTGCTGCTGCTGCTCATCACTGTATTTCCGTCTTCTTCTCCTTTCTTTTTAATCATCTACGATTTTGTTTTTTTTGCTTTTCTAATTCCTCCTTCTGAGTTGTGCTGTTCTAATGTTGCTGCGATTGTGTCTGAAGTTGTGGTACCGTCGATGGTGTCGTGACGACGATCGTTGATTGAGTGTTATTTTGGGCATTTGAGGTGGCATTTTGGACCATCTGTGGTGGAATATCCTGTACATCCCAGATCTCTTCGAGAAACCGTGGCAGTTTGCGATTTTTTAGCTTCAACGAGAAGCACATTTCGGAGTTTTGATTGCCCAGCGTTCGAAGTTCGGTTAAAATTGCCAGCAATGTACCGAAAACGATCATACACTTGACATCACCGCCGTGCCGATTCAAAATGTAAATTCGTAATGTGTCTATGTAATAGCTTTGGATTGCCTCCACCAGTTCGGCTTGCTCAAGACCCGGCCGATCGGAGAATATGACGATTGCGGTAAGTAGAGCGTATTCAACATTGTCCACACGCATCGAGTACATCTGACGGCAAAAATGTAACAGATCCTCAATGGTGTCTGCCATACCGGCCATTCGATATGAGTCACGTGTGTATGAACGATTATTGGCAAAGAATATGGAATCGGAGGCGGCATCATATCGACGAGCCATTCGCAACATCATCACTTCACTGGAACATGCCTGTGTGTTTGTGTGTGGGCGTGTGTATCGAGTACGACGCATTGTATCGGTGGCGACAGCAGACCAGGGCAGATGAAGACGAGTACATGAAATTTTGCCATTGAAATTCGGTCATGCGAACGCGACGACGAGACAGTAATTTGATTCGGGAGACAGAATGCGTTTGTGTGCGTGTGTATGTGACAATATCCAGACCACATACAGAACAATGGCGATGCGGCCGAAAAAATAGAGATGAAAAGACAAAGCAAAAAAAAAAGTTATTAGAAATTTGACCGCTAAGAAGACGATATCCGTTCGATCCGACGGAACACAACGATTTAATTAAAAAAAGAAAAATGTGCGTTCTCACGCTTCCCTACCTTCAACAGTGTAATTTGATCTTCTTGAGGAATTTTCGTAAATGCGGGCAAACCCTTAGCGAACTCAACAATCAGTTGTACTGTAAGAATGGTGATTTCGGTGATGTGACGAAAATGCACATCGTTTTGATCCTCATTTTCATCCGGAGAAGTTTGCTACACAGAAAGAAAACAAATGAAACGAGACGAATTAGCGTTTAAGTTCGGTTTCATTCCCATTCAATCAGAATGCAATAGCACTTGCACTTACGATCATAATTCGTTTCAAATCTTCCTCGGATGGCTGTTCGTAGCCATCTTGATACCAAATCAATTTGTAAATCACTGCTAATTGATTCTGTGTTAATGCTGGGATGTTTCGTGCACGATTCTCATCCAGCAGTTTCTGTGGTAAGAGTTGCTGTATGCCCGCAACGATTGTTTGCAACGAAAGAGAAAATAGAAAGAGAAAAACAAACAAACAAATCAAAAACTGCAATTAGAATATGCTTATATGCATCAAGTGAAACGCGAAAATTTATGCAAAATAAATCAGTATGTGCGCAATCCATTTGCAAGAGATTTATAATGAAATCAACAACAGCAAACAGCAAAAGAAAAAAACTAGAGCGCATAAAAATGAAAACGATTGTGTTCAAGAAAATTCAGCGAAAAAAATCGCATTGCAAGGAAAAGTAAGAAAGCGCTTCTCCTCAAAACACTTACCGTTGCTTCAGCGTATGGAGGTGGGTCACATTTCATTAGTGTTGGTATTTCATTTTTATATGCATCAAATGAATTGATTGTTGGTGGAATTTGCTGTTTGTCTTTCTCCTTTTGTGCTTTTTTCTCTTTGCGTTTGATTGCACATTGATTTTCTGGCACTACACATTCGGGTCGCATACCAACCGCTAAGCACTTTTTTAGCCGACATTCCTGACACTTACGCCGCATGTACATATCCATTTCGCACTCGTGCCCGAACTTACAACAATAGACCGCATTTTTGGTAACACTCCGTCGGAAAAATCCTGCGACACGATGAAAAAAAAAAATGAAAGAGCACACACACATGAAAGGGAATGAGTGTAAGAGAGCCGATTCATTTGAAAAATAACAACAAAATTTGTTTATATCAACTATGAGGTCATTGACCATTAATTACCTTTACAACCCTCACATGTAAGCGCATTATAATGATAACCAGAAGCTCTATCACCACAAACTAAGCATAACTCTTCTTGTTGCCGAGGCGTCGGTCCTTTTTTGGCCCGTTTCGGATCACTACAGTCATTCATACCGTAATCGTTGAGACTGCTCGATGGCGAAAGATCTTCTTGACCTAGACACACACACACGACGTTCGGAAAAAAAAGAGTAATGAAATTCAATATAAGACTGCACTGCATCAGACAAGGGAAAACATTGTGAATGGTTCCTTTGTCGTCATCCTCATCTTCTGTGTGTTTCCCACTTACCCATCATATTTGGTTCCTGTCGATTCAAATAGGACGAATTGTTATCGACGTCTAGATTCAAGGTGAACGCACTATTACTATTTGAAATGCTGTCGTTCGTCTTTAACAGTCGATAAACGAAATTTTCATTGAAATCGATCAACCGGTCGCCGTCACTGTTTTCATCCATTGCATTTGCATTCATCGGCAACAGGTATCCATTTTCAATGAGGGAATTTAACAAAGCAATGGCCTGCGTTTTACTGTTTGCTTTGTTGCTATTTAGCAAATATGTGATAAAATCGGAGCCACGATTTTGATACGGTACAGTTTTGGTGAGTTCTTCGTATAGCACTTTTATTGATGCTATGTGCGGTTGCTGCTGCTGTTGCTGTTGCTGTTGCTGTTGCTGTGGATGCCCCACACTTTTTCTATCGACATTATTTGCTAAATAAATTTTATCCGAATTAATATTGCCATTGCCCGCTACATTATTGATGCCAATGCTGCCGTTTCCCGCTGTAAAACTCATTTTACCATTCACTTTGATCGATCGCATCGACGAATTATTCTGATCGATTGATGACTGTGAATCATTTGAATATTGTTGTATAAGAGATGGCGGCGCTTGCACTTGATTCGACTGTGAATCGTTCGTAATTCTGTGCGTGAAAGAAAGAAGAAAACAAAAAATCACTTGATAAAGCAACAAAATGCGCGACACCAAAAACGAAACCGAAAAATGTCGGAGAGAAGAGAATCAAAAACGATTGGGATTAAAATAATTAAAATGGATGAAAAGCGTGAGCGTGAAAAAATGTGAGAAAAAGTTCAGAAATTTTGAATTAGACTACTCATCACTTGTCTTCGCCGATTGCATCCTCCACTGGTTGTCTGCGTAATTTTTCTTCAATGGACGCGCGTCACAATCACATTAAATGCAAGCGGGCGAGCGAACGAGCAAGTGAGAGAGAGAAGGCGTATATGTACGCGTTCTCAATGAAAAATGAGAATGAAATTGTGTGTGTGTGTGTGTGTGTGTGTGATGCGTACCTGTTCGAGTTAATTTGATTTTGTGCGGCGCCTGTTGTGTGTATGGTGGCAGTGAATGATTGCTGTTGAAGAGGCGACTGTTGTGTACCCGACATATTGATAATCGATGCGTTTAGTGTGCTGCCATTGTTATTTGTTGCCGGTATCACATTAAAACCACTATTATTGCTGGTAACGAACGACGTCCAAGACGGTGACGATAACGATTTGGTCGGCGATTGAATATTACGATTCATTTTTAAATAATTGTTTCATCAAACAACAAATTCTCTTAATAGCTGTGTGTGTGTGTGTTTTGCACCCGCTCACCGGGCTGCTGTAGATGTGTGTTGTATGTGGTGTTCGTGTGTGTGTGTGTGTGTGTAAATGTTTTGCGTGAATTTACTTCACAATTTATCTTTGTCCGTATCGTTGATAATTATTTGTCGCGGCGGTGTCTTGCATATGATAATCCTTTTATTATGATTATGGTCGATTTTTTATGTGTGCCGTTCGTTTCACTTTTACTTTCTGCAACGACGAGATGCATTTAGAAAATGAACAATTCAACACCGAAATGGCCATGCATTCAACCTTTTCCACTTCTTCTTCTTCTTCTGCGGTGTGATCAATCACTTTTACTCTTTCGCTCTCACACTATTCTCTTGATTTTTTTGTTGTTGTCGCTTTGGTTTTATCACTCACTTACACTTGCAGTTGCACTTCATTGATTCTGGCATGCTTCATTCGCTTTTTTTGCACATGCACAACCAAAACTAAAACAGAAAAAAACCAATTTCCTACAATGTTTTCTGTATTTTTTTCGTTTCGTTGAATTATCGGAGTGTTTTCTTTCACTTTATCTTTGTGTATGTGTATCTTTATTTGTCACTTCATTTTAAGCTTTTTATTGCTAACACACAACGACCAACACGTATTAATTAGCACGTGAGCTTTCTTCGCATTCCATTCCATGGGCAAATCGTACAATCCATGTCGATTTATCTGCAAATAAGACAAAATAAGACCATTTTAGTATTGGCGAACAATTTTCAGAATTCTGATTTCTTTTGTTTTCTTTCATTTTATTTCTTGTGCCCATTACGAAAATTCGTAATATTCAATCGTTCATCGCTAGAATATTGTATATATTTATAGATAAGTCCAAGACAAAATACAAACAAATCCAAAATAAAAATAAAAAAGATAAAACAGAAAGAAGAAACACCATCGAACATCGATCGATTTTCGTGGGATGAATGGAAACGACACATTGGGCAATTTGATTGACTTATTGAGTTGGCTCTAAATGGCACATTGCCTGTGGTGTATGTGTGTGTGTGTGCGCGCATTATCTTTTCTCTCTCTTTTGTTTCGCTAATTTGTTGTTTGTATGTGTCTATTTATATATCGGTGAACGTTTCAGCCAAGAAAATAAATCTTTTTAAATCCAATCGAAACAGAGCCTCTTCTCAACATTTGCTTCCATCATTTTTTTTTTCTGAAATCCTTAAAGATATTATGACCGGATTGTGATGTAAATCGCAATGCATTTGAATGTGCTATGACTTGAAAGGCCATTAACACTACATTTGATGAATGGATAAAAATAACAGCTACATTTGAAAAAAAAAAGAAGCGAAAAACAAAGAGAGCTGCACATATTTTGATCGTGGCGTGGCTCGTTTTAGTCAGCATTTTATTCAAAAATCGTCTCAAGAGCCGTACTTGACCTTTAGTGATTAATTGAAGAACAATTACCTGCATCAACAAGATTTCTACACACATCTTGGCCGAGTGTATGAGCTTCTCGTTGTATGCATTATTGAGCGAGCAAGTGAACGAGCCAGCCAGCGAATGTACTAAATTAGTTAGGTTCTTTGTTTAAGATTTATTTATTTTTCGCTTCTTTGTCTGTCTGTCTGTCTTCGTGCTGTTTTTTCTTCTTCTCTGTTTTGTTTATATCGCGCTCACTATAATATAACCACTCCATACCTAGTGTTTTTGTGTACTATTTTTCTGATGAAGTCGGACGGTTCGTCAGACGCGCGTACGTTTACTTTTTCGATAAGCATGTTGTACATTAAATTGTGTTTGTGTATATGTGTGTTTATGTTTACGTTTGAATGTTTTTTTTTTTTTAATTGCAGCCGTTTTCTTGCCGACAACTACAATTAAACGTCTAATCTCATTTTAATGTTCAAGTCTTTCGTTCGATCACATATGTTACGCATAAATATCCAGAATAAATTGCCATTAAATCATTGGTTTTGGTGTTGTACTTATCGAAGATTAAAAACGAAGACGATGACGATGGAGAAACACAGAAAAAAAAACCTAACGCAATCGTTGTTATTTGGTGTTTGTGTTGAGTATTGTTTGGTCAAGGCTGATTTTCATCGAAATTGTAAATATTTCGGATGGTGGCTAAACGTTTTTGTTGGCTGTTTGTTATTCATTTGGAATAGACAACGTCAAAATTGCAATATTTCACAACTCAATTTTTATTTTCAATGTTCAATTCAAATTTGAAGACCTCTTGAATTTGTGAGCGATCGAGGGAGCGATAGAGAGAGAGAGAGAGAGAGAGAGAGAGAGCTGGCGGTTTTTTCTCCTCCTTATTTGCCCATTTACAAGTGCATGTTTGTGATTTTACGGTGCGAATGTCGATCATTTTCAATGATCAATACTAGCTTTGAATATAAATTCCGTTGCATTTATGAGCGCGCGCGCGCACGCATGCCTCAGCCGAACAAAAAAGTTCAACAACAAATAATTTTATCATCACTCAAACCGGTATTCAAAAATTTAAACAACGGATCTCTTTTGATTCACGGACACTGAATGGAATTGTGTGGCTATGCATATCTCGGCTGCGCTCCCATTTGTTATTTTAATCCCGTCGTCGTTGTTGTCGGGCGCTGCAGATTTTACGTTTTTATATGCAGCCGTGCGTTGTGCTCATGTGCAATTTTCTATCAGAAATGAAAAAGATAGCGAAAGTGTGGGCCGAACGCAAAATGCTTCTGGTTATCGTTCGCTCACGCGCGCGGATAATAATTTTTCGTTGCATGCAATGGATATCAACAACCGAAAAAAAGAGCAGAAACAAAAAGGAAAAACAGAAAGAACGCAAACTGCCACCACATTCACGAAAATGGAGTGCTTGAACGAACGGGAGAGAGCGCGCACTACAGCACGAGATCGAATGTCGAACCACAAGAAATACGAAGGCAACGCGTGAAATAAACGGAACGATGAAAAGCAGCGATGAAACCGAAATATACGAAAAAAAAACATAGCAAGCAACTCACTACTTGACTCGGAATGAAAATAAAATAAACGACCTTGTCCTGATGTGTTGAGGTCACACTCCTTCACTACGCATACGGCTCATTTGTAATTTCGACAATTTTTGTGGTTAATATTTCTTCGTTGTTTCGTTTTTTTTAGTTCGTATTCGGCGTTTTCTCGCTCACTATCCCCCTCTCTCCGTGTGTGTGTGCGTGTGAGTGTTTTTCCCGTCATTCGTTCCCTCAACTTTGGTGTGTTTTTATTTTGCAACTTTGTTTCTCTCTCTCTCTCTCTCTCTCTCTCTCTCTCTTTCTCTCGGTTTAATTCAACTGAGTGACTGTTTTTCGGTATAGTCCGGAGTTTTTCACAGTTGGATATAATATAATTGGTAATTTCACTTCATGTCCAAAAATTGTTTCGAGTAAGCAGGTTTTTTCCTACTTTTTGACGCTTGCTCACCGAAATGCTTCATGCTTGTTTTGTATTTATCCGAGGTCAAAGGTCATCAAGCATTAATTACATGCTTGATAGTTAGTGTGTTTGAGTTCGCGTTACCAATATTTTTTTTTGTTCGTCATTCATCATTTCGATGGCACCGAGAGTGTCACAATACACACATACACATAAAACGAACTGGGAAATGCGACAGAGATAAAGTATTGGCGTTTAATTTTGGAATTGGTTTTTAATTTATGATATGATCATTCACATTTATTGACGAAAAACGCCGATTTATTTTATAATAATTTTGTGGCGTTCAAATGTGAACTGTTTTATAAATATTGCCGAAAAATATGAATGCGTTTATTTACAAAATGAATATGCACGAACACAAACACAAACACAAACACACGCATGTACACATACACCCAACTGCCACAACCAAGTGTCCATTGACTTTTTGCATGTGCGTCACACTATCTGTGTGTGTTTGTATCATCGAATTTGACAAATCAAATCAACATGCAAATATCAACAACCTCGTCAACACAAAATAAATAAAGATGTGTTTAACGTGTGCAGTTAATCGATCGATAATGTAAGCACCCTTTTTTTGTCAATGAAAACAATGGCCTGTTTATATCACGTTCCAATACATGTAAATCGTTGAAAACAAAAAAACACCGATTCAAAATGAAACGCAAAATACCCAAAATTCTGACGCTACACTCTATGCAAGCGGCTGCCAAACTTCAACCGAGAGAAGAAAAAAAACAACCAACAACCCATCATTACAAATACACTCACAAAATGGTAATATTTTGCTTAACATTGCACATTTATATCAATAAAATAAATAAACGATTTGCGCACTAAAAAGCCACATAAAATGCATGGATGAGAATCAGATTGGTTTAAATCTTGTTTATAATTGACCCGACGGGAAAAAAAACATTAAACACTGGAATATAAATAAAATGATGGTGGATTTTTTTTGTCGTTATTTAGTTCGTTGGTCGTGTCCGATTGAAATGTCGCTGTATTTAAAATATGCCGAACGAAAATTGTTTATACGTTCATGTTATGCAAAAACATTCAATAATAATTTGACAAAAAAAAAGTGACAAAAGAAAATGAAGACAAAAAAGTATATGACAGCAACAACACCAACAACAACAGGGCAAAACGACGACAGTGACGGCTAAATTGAGCGAACCCATTCACTCTCACTGTGCTGTTGACTTGATTAGCGTATAAATAAAATGCAAAGTTTAGCAAAAATATCAACACACCAATAGAGAACATCGCCGTCAAACAGTGAAACTTCGTATATTATTACATAGAGAAAGAGACAAATGTACGAAAAAAAAAGACAGCGATTGGCAGCCGCGGCGGCAACAGCACCACAATCAAACCGAGGCACACACACAGAGAGAGAGAGAGAGAGTGAGAGTGAGAGAGAGAGAGAGTGAGAGAGAGAGAGAGAGCGTACACTAAAAACACTAATAACAAAGCATAAATTTATTACACGAGTTTAATCACTCCGCGCTTGCGCGCTTGCTCTCTCTCGCTTACTCTTAAAACACACAGGAATGTGTATTGGTTCGTTGTCTTTTGATTTTGCGTTCGGCGGTCATAGCCCATATAAACTAAAAAGTCGTTTCGCAAATGTCAACAATAATAACTTTAAAATCGAAACGTAACGGTAACGGAACAGGCACACGGCCACCAACAACAACAACAAATCAATGTGTGCATTGCTTTCGACTAACCCTCCCTCTCTTCCTCTAAGGCGCGCACGACGCTGCTGTTGCGGCTACTACTACTACTAGTAGCCTGCTGCTGCTGCTGCTGTTGCTCTTGCTGCTATTGCACGAATAATGTGGAAAACTAATGAACGAAAAAAAAAGTGGAATCAAACACTCATGTTACACATGTATGAAAAATTCACGAACGCACTTGGTCAAAACGGTCAACCGCGATTCATCAATTTGAAGAGAGAAAAAAAGGTGAATATTTTTTCTTTCGAAATCCAAACCCCGAATAAAAACTACTCATTTCGAAGTAAAGCAAAGAAAACATGCAAATTACACGAACAGGCGAACGCACGCTCGCGACCAAACTGTGTGACTTTTTTCTTCTTTCGAGATCACACACATATGATTCTGTGGTGATTGTCGACTGACTTTCTCTATCTCGGTCGCTCATCGTTATTGGATCAGTAGTTAAGTCGACGGAAGAGAAGTAACAACAACAAAACTACACTGTAT